TTCCGGTACTCATAGCATGACTGCTTTTTGACCTATGACCCATGACAACTGTAAAATTCGAAACAATAAATTATTATTATTATTTAAAATCTTAATTACTATATATATATATATATAGTATAAATTTATTTTTTTTAGAAATTTTTGTTTTTGATCCGTACATTAATAATTAATTATTATTTTAAATCTACAAAAATTGGACGGTTTAATCGTTTTGGGCCAAGAATTAAAGTTGCTCTATTTAGCAAGAGCTACGTAACCACACCAAATATCATATTTTTCTCCAAACAAATATCAAAAATAATAATCTAAGCTTAAAGCTTGGGAAGCTAAATTTGGGTTTTCTTGGAGTTCTAGTACGTGGACTCACGCTACGAGAGGTAGGATTTCTCCTATTTAGACGTAATTTCAACCTAAAATATGACATATAACATGAGTAAGTTAAGGGTGCATATCACATGTTAAGTCTTGACTAGTGTAACTACTAGGTCAAATATAAGATTTATGATTAATCTTGTAATTAATAAAATCTTATTTACCATTAACTTGGTGTAAGTTAATGTTAGTAATTTAAAACATGTTAATTGTATATTAGTATTACTTTATGTTTTAATGACATATCAAGTTTAATAAAATTATTAGTTTGGTATGTGATTGTGAAATAATATATATATATGTTAAATGATTATTTAATATATGATTATTGTGGTAGACTTGTGCTTATGTTTATAGAATTAATAAACATGTTGCCATGTTGGAAGTAATAAACATGCTAGTTGTATGAATTGATGTGCCCTCTAAGTGTTTGTTTAAATGTCTAGGTGAATACAAGTATGTTAGTTAAGTTAATTATCTTACATAAACATACTTGGGATTGTGTTGAAAATGTCATTATATTGTATTCATTATGTAATGGACATTGTAAATGGTACCAAAGACAATTGCACATTATATTGCATTATGCATGAATTGTATTACATTCATGGACATTGACATGGATGAGAGTGTGTGCATGGTATGAAATCAATCACCACATAAATGGTTGATCATGGACTCGAGAAAGTCGTACCAAGGTTCGACTGAGTCGAACAAGAAAATTAAATGGATAAACGTGTCGGGGATAACAAGAAGGGCTAGATTCTCTATCGGGTGTAAGACCTGTTTACTTGGTTTATATACTTTTCGGCAGTGCAATTTCAAAAAAGTGTAATAACCAAAATGGAGCCGCAAGTGGGATGTCCTGAAAATCCGTTGATGGTTGGTGTCACATTGGTGTAATATCATAAACCATCTCTCCACAAAGACACAAGAAAATAAATTAATTAGTCATTGAGAGTACATAACACCAACGACCGGGGGGGGGGGGCTTGGAATGCCCGGATATATACACATAGCANATGCAAGAGTCACTAGAGAGAGTTAAATTTAAAATGTTCAAATTTACAGTTCGTCTCGATTAATGATTTTAATACTAGTACCAAACAATCACTATTCTAAAAGATAGGTGTTCAGTTAACAACAGTCCCCTAGCATGTGCCAGTCCAATTATATTGTCACTAAGTTAAGTCTTAACCATCCTTTTCTCCATGTGATAACAGTAGTTAGTTTACATGACCATCTGTAAAGTAGAACTGTAACAAGATTCCAAATGAGAAGCCCATTCCTTTTCCCATTTAAACCCACTTCTAAGTTCACCAAAATTTTTAACTCAAATCAACGTGAATCATAGAATTAATGGGTCCTACTAACTTTAACTAACAAACCAATAATTATTAATGATCGATCATGAAATATTATGATCAATCATAATACTCCTGATGGTTGTAACTTCACTTTTAAAATGGATAACTTAACCTGAATAATTAGTAACTTTATATTTTTCAATAGTAACTTTGATCACTTTTTGTCGGTTATAACTTCCACCTCAGAAGAGTATAACTTAACTCAAAAAAATAATAAATTCCGGTACTCATAGCATGACTGCTTTTTGACCTATGACCCATGACAACTGTAAAATTCGAAACAATAAATTATTATTATTATTTAAAATCTTAATTACTATATATATATATATATAGTATAAATTTATTTTTTTTAGAAATTTTTGTTTTTGATCCGTACATTAATAATTAATTATTATTTTAAATCTACAAAAATTGGACGGTTTAATCGTTTTGGGCCAAGAATTAAAGTTGCTCTATTTAGCAAGAGCTACGTAACCACACCAAATATCATATTTTTCTCCAAACAAATATCAAAAATAATAATCTAAGCTTAAGGCTTGGGAAGCTAAATTTGGGTTTTCTTGGAGTTCTAGTACGTGGACTCACGCTACGAGAGGTAGGATTTCTCCTATTTAGACGTAATTTCAACCTAAAATATGACATATAACATGAGTAAGTTAAGGGTGCATATCACATGTTAAGTCTTGACTAGTGTAACTACTAGGTCAAATATAAGATTTATGATTAATCTTGTAATTAATAAAATCTTATTTACCATTAACTTGGTGTAAGTTAATGTTAGTAATTTAAAACATGTTAATTGTATATTAGTATTACTTTATGTTTTAATGACATATCAAGTTTAATAAAATTATTAGTTTGGTATGTGATTGTGAAATAATATATATATATGTTAAATGATTATTTAATATATGATTATTGTGGTAGACTTGTGCTTATGTTTATAGAATTAATAAACATGTTGCCATGTTGGAAGTAATAAACATGCTAGTTGTATGAATTGATGTGCCCTCTAAGTGTTTGTTTAAATGTCTAGGTGAATACAAGTATGTTAGTTAAGTTAATTATCTTACATAAACATACTTGGGATTGTGTTGAAAATGTCATTATATTGTATTCATTATGTAATGGACATTGTAAATGGTACCAAAGACAATTGCACATTATATTGCATTATGCATGAATTGTATTACATTCATGGACATTGACATGGATGAGAGTGTGTGCATGGTATGAAATCAATCACCACATAAATGGTTGATCATGGACTCGAGAAAGTCGTACCAAGGTTCGACTGAGTCGAACAAGAAAATTAAATGGATAAACGTGTCGGGGATAACAAGAAGGGCTAGATTCTCTATCGGGTGTAAGACCTGTTTACTTGGTTTATATACTTTTCGGCAGTGCAATTTCAAAAAAGTGTAATAACCAAAATGGAGCCGCAAGTGGGATGTCCTGAAAATCCGTTGATGGTTGGTGTCACATTGGTGTAATATCATAAACCATCTCTCCACAAAGACACAAGAAAATAAATTAATTAGTCATTGAGAGTACATAACACCAACGACCGGGGGGGGGGGCTTGGAATGCCCGGATATATACACATAGCACTGCATGTGTTGTGAGAGCTCAGGATGAGACTCAGTGTTGGTATTGCTTGCGTGAGTCTCATCTCATAGCATGATATGATTTATGAGATTTGTTCGTAATTGATATATTTGAATAAATGCTTGAAATAATTGTTGCATGTGACATTTCATATGCATTTGGGTTGAGAAGTAGTTACCCTATTGAGCGTTGACTCACCCTTTATGGGAACATTTTTCAGATATCGCCCATGCGTCCACTGAAGGCGAGGCCACGAGCCCGCTTTGATGATAGAGCCGATTTGTGGCTCTTATTTTGACTTTTGCAGTCCCTTGTATATGTTTACTTTTGACCTTGTATAATTTTTTATAAACAAAAGTTTCTTTTATATTAAAAAGGTATGTATATGGGACTCTTTTGAGACAATTATTCTTTTATGAATGAATGTACGTGGTGATGATGATTATGATAGTATCCGATACTATGCTATTGAGTATGGATGAATGAGTCAATATTGTATGATTGCATAAGTTGCGTTTTGGGTAGAGTTCCCTGTACAAAAAATACTTTGTTCAAATTTTGTTAAATTATGAACCCCGATAAATGGGACATAACGGCGTGATATCGAATTATATGATAGTCATGAGTATTCCACGAGTTAATGGGTGACCAACCGGATAATTACGGACACCCAAATTTTGGAGCGTCATAGCAACGATATCCCATATTCTCGGTTTTAACAAAAATAGTGTAACATCTCCCTCAAAAATATTCTTTGATAGCACCATGTGCTCAAAAATAGGGATGCGGTTTGGGTTGCTTAATTCAAATTTAGTTTGATTGTATTAAATATTTGGACAGAGATATTTAATATTTAAGTTGAATCTTAATTAGTAGAAAAATGTTAAATTGACTTAGATTTTTTTGTGAGTCAAAAATTGATTTAAATTTGGACATCATTCAGATTGAAACCTTAAATTTTAAAAAACCCGATTCGAGCCCTCGCTGAGTTCCCTAATTGGGTCCAATCTAAATTGACTTTAAATTGTGCAATCTTGAAATCAAACCCGAATTTTAGCCTAATAATTGAGCTCTAATTACAACCACATTTATTCAAGCCGAGTTAAAAGAAACAAAGCACAAGCACTATGATGATGGAATTATGATTGAAGTTGGGTTCACGTTGAACTTGAACTTATTTTGAGGGTTGTGTTGGAGTGCAAATTTGTACAATTGACTAATAAATTACCATAAGATTGTTATAATCTAATTACCAACTATATAATGATAAGCTGTGAAACTAATGCCAACATTGTGATCTTTTCGGAGTACATTGGTGTACAACTAATACAATGAAATCAATGTTACAAGCAAAAAAGACAAGAATAGTTTATCCATACTATAGTCAGAGGAAAAAACCCGAAGAAAAGCCAAAAAGAAAGGCACAATAGACTCCTAAAAAAAAAAAGACGTGAGAAATCTATCATTTGTTTATGTTTTTGACATTTTATGAATTTTGTTTTTATCAAATTTAATAACAAAAACGATGAAATTCAAACAAGTGACATAAGGTCCAACTCCAACGGGTTGGTCAGACGTTTGTCCAGCAAAAAGAGGTAGGCAGAGAAAGGTGCTCCAGGTTCGAAGGGCATTTTGGTCATGTGGAGCAAAAAACAAAAAACAAGTAACCATTTTTGAATTTTCTTTAGCTTCTTTTTGCTCTCTATTTGTTTTTCTTAGGCCCAGAGCACACGAGCCAAGAAAATCTTGCAGGTTGGGAAAGGGGGAGAGAAACAGAGAGAGATAGAGAAGTGGGAAAGAGAGAAAGGTAGTATATAGAGAGAGGGACAGAGACGAAAGTGAAAAGTCAATATACTTTTGATTTGTTCACCCCGAGACCCTAAGTCCAGGTTGGTGCAAAAAGCTAAAACCCCACTTTGCTTTCTCACCTTTGAATTCAATATTCATATGCGATCTTTACTATATGTGCAAAGTCATACTAAACTTGGTTAGCTGTTTACTTCCTTTATTCACATGAGCTTTTGAACTTCTAGATTTGTGCTTTATGGGTATCAATCAATCATATCTAAAGTTTTAATCTTTATGCGTAGGTGAATTGTATCGTATTAGACTTGGAAAATGGAATTTTTGTATATTTATTTGTGCAAATATTATTTGAGTTGTAGTTGAAATCTTTCCTTTGGCCTCTATTCAAAGGCATGGATTCTCTTAATGTGTGCATTGCAAACTAGTGACCTTCTGGATTGATTGGTTGATGGATCATTGATGCCTATTGCATAATGTTCTTTATTATGTGTGCATTCTAATCTCATAACGGTTGTTAATTTTTTTGATCCTTCTTTATCTCTCCTTTTATGACTGCTTTCTCTTTCTGATTTACTTTTGTTAGTTTTAGGCAGTGTGAAACTGTTGTTAGCTAAGAATAGTTTATGCAAATTCATGGGTTATATTCCTTTTTCACCCTCCAAAACTTGTACAAATAGAGATGGTCGATTTTGATTTCATTCACTGCAGGAGCTCTTTGAATAATTGCAACGGGTGTTTTGCGTAGAGCAATTATTCAAGTTAAAAATATGAGCATCAGTAGCTCCACCATAGGATCTGGTTAGTATTTCTTCACCTTTCAATGGCTATTCTATTTGGGTAAAGTGAAATGCGGATGCCTACAAAAGAGTGTTATCTTATGTGTGCCAAAAATTTCATTCAGCCTGGTTACTTGTAGGTTACGTGTGCTGAACTTTGTTCCTGGAATGTTTCAGGTAGCCAAACTACTAGAAAAACATTTGAGTTTGGAAGGACACACGTGGTCAGGCCCAAAGGGAAACACCAAGCAACTATTGTTTGGTTACATGGCCTTGGTGATAAGGGTTCAAGGTATCAAGATTTCTCTTTCACTGAAATTTTCCTTTTTGCAGTTAGCATTGTTGTAGTTTTAGGCTGAAATGGTATACAGAATAAACTAGCACTAAATTCATTCATGGTATTGGGAGTCACAATAAAGAGTGAAATTTGAGTTTGTTTCTAATCATGTGTGTAAATTTAAACTCTTGTGCATTGGATTCATTATGATCTTTTATACATTCTCTGCTGTATGAGAAACACTTGGTGAGGTTTGGTTCCTCTTCTTTTATCCTAAATATATGACTTGCATGGAAGTGGTGGACTAGACTGCTATTATCAAAGGAGTAAGTGAATGTCAAAGTGTTGCCCTACATGCATGAAGTGTGGTGTTCGATCAAATTCCTGAGCTCGAGGCCTTTCTAGAAGATTTTGATTGATTAAATGGGAAAGACCATGGATGCCATTAATGAAAGACATTTTTAGTTGTCGTTTTCTTCCATCCCTTACATTTGATTTTTAAAACTGTATATGCCAAGGGTAGAACAGGGGACCACTGGTTCACTACCTATGATTCACCTTTACAAACAGAATACTACTATTCTATTTGAATTATAGTACCAAGGTTAATATAATTAATTCTCATTTTTTTCTAAATTAAGCTCTGAGGCCAGATTCCAGAGCATTGAGTTCAATTTATTTATTCTTATGTACAATCTGGACTGCATTATTATATTCTATGATTTCTTCCATTCTTGCAAAGGACCTGTTCTCAAAAATGAGGGTGATCCCAAAGCTGCCTAGTGCGACACAATCTGAGTGGGTTTATCTTAGATACTATGATATGGTGCTTCAAGGTCCTGAAGCGTCCTGCCAATTATAATAGGCAATTGGGTTGTCATATTTTGTCAATTCGTTATCTATTTTCTGCTTGGTTGTGCTATGTAAAGGGACCAATGGGGACTAAGATGAATGCTGATTTTCTTGCTTTCTGGCTTGCAGCTGGTCCCAGATCTTGGAAACTCTACCTCTTCCAAATGTAAGACTACAATGTATTTTTAGTTATGTAGTGGCTTCTGTAGGCATGCACATGCAACATGCCAAACTAGTTCCTATATGCCAAGTTTGGAAAAATTGACCTTACATGATTAGTAAGCTTGTTATTCGTGTTCTGTAAAATCTACATCGCAGATCAAGTGGATTTGTCCAACTGCTCCTACTCGTCCAGTAGCTGTATTTGGAGGATTTCCTAGCACTGCCTGTAAGATTCATTGCTGTGAGATTATTTTTTTCCTTTTTATGGTTCAAAACCACCTTAAGAATCTCGATTACTACAGGCTTGAAAGAAGTTCTTCACCATTATTTTATATTCTATCATATTATGCTAATGTCAATGTGTAGTTCAATATTTTCTGTGCTTTTTATATTACCAAAGATAGAACAAAATTCTCACTTAAATTATGTCAGGGTTTGATGTAGGAGATATTTCAGAAGAAGCTCCTGATGATGTGGAGGGTTTAGATGCTTCAGCGGCACATGTTGCGAATCTCTTGACAACTGAGCCTGCTGATAGTATGTTCTACTCTCGAGTGTTTCAAGAATATGCGGTTTAACAAGAAGAGAATTTAACATAAAATTGAAGCAATAGATGCTTGAAAAGAAAGCAAAGAAAAAAAACGACAGTTTTGACCAGTGTTTTTGTTTTGTGTGCGAAGTTTATAATCCATTTTGACCTTTGTATCTTTCCTAGATTCCTTCCCCCGAAGATGTTGTCTGCCAAACATAGATTCTATGTGTTTTCATGTCTCATTTCCTAACTTACTGGGCATTGGTGTCCATCTAATCATTGCAACAAGAGAGAGAGCCCCAATGCCTGTTAAACTCATTAAGTTTATGGAGGGCATCTAGTTTTCTTAACCCATGGTTATAATAAGGTAAATTTATAACATTGAATGAGATTTTTAACCAACCGAGCTGGTGGTCTAGGGATAAGTCGTACTTGTTTAGGGTTGTTCCTGTCTTCCATGGGGTTATCAAGTAGGGTTCGATCGATTCACGGGAGTAACGTTGTTTGTTGTTTGACTTAGGTGGTACTGTGGTGATGAGCTGTCTTTCCGTGTTAGTAGCTATGACTCAAATCGGACATTCTATAGTAAGGGAACCCCCATGATCATGCTCAGAGGGGGTTACTATTTACTGGTCGCCCCTCCCCCCCTTTTCGTTGTTAAAAAAAATGAGATTCTTATATTTATATTTTTGAGACTCTTCTATTTTTGTATTCTTTTTTTTTTATTTTTGTTGTTATTTTGATGGTGATATCCCCATATCCGACTAAATTGTATGCCTTATGCTAATTGAAGCTCAACAAATCGTTATATCAGAAGCTTTTCCTTGAAATTTTATTTTGTGCATAATATTAATGCTTTGAACACCATGATTTAGATGGAATAATTCTACAATTCTAACTTATTGATTTTTATGAAGTTAAAGACTATAGTTTTCAATTTCAACTACTGCTTTTTTCTTCTTGTCTATTTTTACTTTTTGGACTCTTTCTTTGAAGCTTTTCATGACAAAAGCATCCCTATAAACTCCCGAAGTGCTTCGACATCTATTCTTTTGTTTGTTTTAGTCTGTTTTTTTTTTCCAAAATGCTTTTTACATTCCTATTTATTTAATCCCAAGGATTTTGAAATTTCACTGGCCTTATGCTCAAAGGTTTTCAGCCTATGGGGATCGGCAGAACAAATACTACATCCCTTGTCCAGTTACCAGACTTTCATAAACCAATAATGCATGCAATTGTACTTAATGGATGACCTTGAGAGTTAGTGATACTTCAAGAAACTTGAAGACTTCTGATGTGTTTCATGTTCCCTCCCTACCCCTTCCTGTATGTACAAAGACCACACCTGGGTTTTGGTTGGCTTTACTTGTAAAATTCTATTATTATTGTACAGTTAAACTAGGTGTTGGGGGCTTCAGTATGGGTGCTGCAACTGCTCTGTACTCTGCCACGTGCCGTGCCTTGGGGCAATATGGGAATAGAAAGCCATATCCAATTAGCCTAAGTGTGGTTGTTGGTTTGAGTGGCTGGCTTCCATGTTCAAGGTTTGATTTCAGTTCTATGCATTCTCATGCACACAGCACACGCCTGTTGTTGCTAGTACATTGTTGCATGTGAGTAAGCATTTCAAGTCACTCTGGGGCTATTGTTTTCTAGGACTCTGAGGAATCAGATGGAAGGATCACATGAGGCTGCAAGGTGTGCAGCATCCTTGCCCATTCTGCTCTGTCATGGCTCAGGTACTCAGAAGTATTTTTGTTGCTTTGTAGATTCTAAAGAGTACAAAGTTCAATATTTTTTTGCATTTTGCTGTTTTATGATTTGCACATTATTTTACCTAAACTATAGATGAGCCTGCAGCTGAAATAGCGGTTTGTTGTTCCATCAACTTGCTATTTGTAAGTACCACTGGTTGTCAGCTCGGGTGGTCTCTCCTCGTACCCTACTGGAGGTGCAGGCTTTGAGTCCCGTATGACTTGTGCATGTATTCCCCTCCTCCTTCCGCTCAAAAAACAACTATAATTAAATTAATTTAACTAAAACAAAGAAGAAAAGCAAAAAAAATCTTGTGATTTCAATGTGAAATGTTATTTCTTTGCTTTTCAATTAGCTACTGGTTTTAACAGCTTTCTTTGGCTATTTGAATTGATCTAAACCAAACCAAATGTTTGAAATTGCTTTACTGTAAAATCTAGTATAGAGCGTAATTAGGCTGGCACCGCCAGCATTCATTTGCATACGCTGTTGCTGCCTCATCTTACAATTACCAAACTGTTCTTATAGGTGTAAATACAAGCACACATGGACACATGCTTGACCATCTTCTTGGTTATAATCCTTTTATGCATATCTGCTTACATGAATGCTTTCGTCACTTTATTTCCTTATACCCAATTTAGCGGCCTCGTCAAATCCACATTTCACTTTTACAATTTGATTGGTAGAGTTCTCATGTAAATGTTGCAACTTACAATCTTTATTCCATCATGTAACATACATGACTTGCCTCAGCCACATTCTTATGCCACCCCACCACAACAACTGTTTTTGTTTTCAATTTTATGGGAAATAATTACCACTTCCACGTTTCTTAGTCTAATCCTGACTACTGGTTTGAACTGCATAGTTTATAGATTTGCATTTGGTTTGTCTTTGCCTTGCATTCCCTCAATGTACATGAAGCGGTACACTTAAGGTTATCAAGTGTGTATGGTCGCTGCGTGCTACTATTGCATGCGAGTTATAGAGCTCTAATAGAACTTACAGGAGTTCATTAAAATTTGAGATGTTTCTAACAACTAGATCAATATTGGTTTGTTTACTGAGGGCTATAAAGTCTTCAATAACTTTACAATGGAAAGTATGTTGAAGCTGGCCAGAGTAGTCTTTGTCTTGTCTGTAATCTAAAGGACTCCCAATTGCTGAAGTGTTAAAAACTTTTTGAGGAAATCGATAAAAATATGGGACAAGTTTCAACATTCAGAGGGGCACCATAGAACCTTTAAGATATTTAAAAAATAAAAAATAAAAAATAAAAAATAGAACCTTTCAGATATTCAGCACCAAAAAAAAGAATCTGTAAGTTATTGAGCTGTGGCAATGCAGAACATTACTTCTTTCTTTCTCACTGAGCTTCAAAATTAGGATTATGTTCCTCATAGGCCAGGCTTTCATGTTCTAAATTATGTTGTTCCGCCGGAGCTTGATAGTTCTTGGCTATGGTAGCAAGCCAAGTTCGGTTTCCTGGATTGTAAATTACACTATTTTGCAATTTTGTGTCTAGTAGTATTCTAGAATAGGATAAATTGTTAGGCCAACTTGCACTTCTATTGCTGTATGTCTTTTGAATACCATATAATGCAAAGATATTATGATGTAAATCTGTATTCACAGAACATAGATGCAATTATACCTGGAGAAGTAACTTGTCCATTTGTCTTCCCATTTCAGCTGATGATGTAGTGGCATATAATCATGGAGAGAAATCCGCGAAAACCTTAAGCGCAGCTGGATTCCAAAATCTCACATTTCAAACCTATGATGGGTATTTTTTTGTCCTTTGGATTTCATCAACTGCAATTTTGTCCGAAAGAAACAATTTGTTGAGATCTTTATTTTTTTCACACAGGCTTGGCCACTACACCATTCCTGAAGAAACTGATGAAGTTTGCAACTGGCTCACTGCAAGGTTGGGGCTTGATGGGTCGCAGTCATAATCTTGGAAAAAGTTGGTGAGGAAGCATGGGGTATACTTATGGAAGTTTAGCAATAATGATAAATGTAGCTGTAGGGAGTTGATGATCAACTTAGTTTAGTAAATTGGGATGGGGTATGGTATACATGTTTGACATTCCATTCTCACTTGATCGTGTCTTTCTTTTTTTTCCCAAATAAGTGTTGTAACAATTGCATAATTGGTTTGATATCAAAGATCTTTGTGAGTATGATCTGTTGATGCTTTAGAAAAATAGGTTATCCAAGCGTTCAAATTTTTTTTGAAGTACTGATAGTTATTTTTTGCAGTTACATATCTGAATGAGATAGGTATGCTGTTGAAGATCATGACCACATAGAACCAAGGTAACACCATGCCTATACAAGACTTTTCACATCAAATAATGGCAGGAGTCTTGCAAATTGGGTTGTTTTTTTAAATAATTATTTTACATCACGACTACATGAAATATTTGGCAACAATCTGAAACAGTCCAAGCACTTTGAGAAATATGAAAAACTACAAAACAGTATTCCAGGCAAACATTGCCAACATTCAAGTCTTTATTGAAATCAAACACAGAACATTCGTTAATGGGCTTATGCCAACATGTTTCTATGTGAACACTAAAACATAGGAAGTGCACAGAAAATTGTTAGGCGAAGCAATGCAGCCTATGTAAACTAGTCAATACCCACAGTACACCCCCCCCCCCCCNTCTAAATTATGTTGTTCCGCCGGAGCTTGATAGTTCTTGGCTATGGTAGCAAGCCAAGTTCGGTTTCCTGGATTGTAAATTACACTATTTTGCAATTTTGTGTCTAGTAGTATTCTAGAATAGGATAAATTGTTAGGCCAACTTGCACTTCTATTGCTGTATGTCTTTTGAATACCATATAATGCAAAGATATTATGATGTAAATCTGTATTCACAGAACATAGATGCAATTATACCTGGAGAAGTAACTTGTCCATTTGTCTTCCCATTTCAGCTGATGATGTAGTGGCATATAATCATGGAGAGAAATCCGCGAAAACCTTAAGCGCAGCTGGATTCCAAAATCTCACATTTCAAACCTATGATGGGTATTTTTTTGTCCTTTGGATTTCATCAACTGCAATTTTGTCCGAAAGAAACAATTTGTTGAGATCTTTATTTTTTTCACACAGGCTTGGCCACTACACCATTCCTGAAGAAACTGATGAAGTTTGCAACTGGCTCACTGCAAGGTTGGGGCTTGATGGGTCGCAGTCATAATCTTGGAAAAAGTTGGTGAGGAAGCATGGGGTATACTTATGGAAGTTTAGCAATAATGATAAATGTAGCTGTAGGGAGTTGATGATCAACTTAGTTTAGTAAATTGGGATGGGGTATGGTATACATGTTTGACATTCCATTCTCACTTGATCGTGTCTTTCTTTTTTTTCCCAAATAAGTGTTGTAACAATTGCATAATTGGTTTGATATCAAAGATCTTTGTGAGTATGATCTGTTGATGCTTTAGAAAAATAGGTTATCCAAGCGTTCAAATTTTTTTTGAAGTACTGATAGTTATTTTTTGCAGTTACATATCTGAATGAGATAGGTATGCTGTTGAAGATCATGACCACATAGAACCAAGGTAACACCATGCCTATACAAGACTTTTCACATCAAATAATGGCAGGAGTCTTGCAAATTGGGTTGTTTTTTTAAATAATTATTTTACATCACGACTACATGAAATATTTGGCAACAATCTGAAACAGTCCAAGCACTTTGAGAAATATGAAAAACTACAAAACAGTATTCCAGGCAAACATTGCCAACATTCAAGTCTTTATTGAAATCAAACACAGAACATTCGTTAATGGGCTTATGCCAACATGTTTCTATGTGAACACTAAAACATAGGAAGTGCACAGAAAATTGTTAGGCGAAGCAATGCAGCCTATGTAAACTAGTCAATACCCACAGTACACCCCCCCCCCCCTCTCTCGTTTTACCTCTTCTCCCGCGTAAAAAAAAACTCAGTAACCTCTAGGTTTAGTTTAGAAAGAAATTTATTAATATGCCATAATGAATAGGTGCGGCCTCTCTATATTTCCTTTCCCCTTGTGTATCGCAAGTAACACTTGATTCAACAAGTAGCATTAAAAAATGGACAGAGAGATACAATTGAGGATGAAGTAGCAGCATAGTAGGCTTTCCTTCATCTTTGTAGATCAAGTCCCGGTACAAATTGCAGCTTGGGTTCCTAATAAGAACAATAAGCAACAGCAATAGTTATACAAATGATTAGAAGTCTAAGCAAATATATAATCAGTTACAAAAGGTTTTACAATCCGAACTGGGACATTTTCGGCTGACAGACCATTATCTGCAAATGGTATGTTTTATGCCCATCCTCTTGCTAATAAAGTGACCAAAAATAGTACATTGCAGCTAGATAACCAAATATTGCCATGACTCACCTTAAACTCATTTAAATTGGTCATTTGGGGCTACTGCAACCTTGAAGATCGCTTGTACTCTGAATATCACTACTTTTGGAATCAAGGCATGGCGTTAGAGGTGGGAAAGAAGGAACAGCTTGTAATATAAACTTCCGGCTAGTTCTTAAGCCTGCTGATGAGCTAGAACCAAGCTCATGCAAGCCACCCTTAGGAGGAGAAACTCGCTTCTTATTTGGGGAGCTTACTTTCACCGTATTGGGTGAGGTAGAAACGTCCTTCAGAATCTCAGGAGTGTCATCTTCCATTATGTCATGAAGATTGTCATCGGAGTCTAGCACCTGGACAAATTTGGTCCCACCAAACCTAGTCATTGGAGTGACTGGTGAATTACGCCACTGAAGAGAACTCACAGACGAAAAATGGCCACTTCCAGGAACCAATTGTGCTCCTGAACCATTTGACCAGTCCCTTGTCATTGGTGACATCAAAGAAGGAATGTCCATTGATGAATGGTTTGACAGCACCATGCGATGGCCTATATTGCAAAGTCCACGAAATATAGGTAAGGATTTTCAAACTGTTTCTGCATTGCAATCCAATTCTGGATCAAAAGAAACTACATCCAGAATCTCTTTACCTGTTTCAAGCGTCATGCCATGATTATCAGAGTTTAGAGGAGATCCGAAGGACTTCCCATAAGATTCTAAGAAGGTGGGATCAGATTCAGGTGATGGGTGGTATCTGCCAGAAGGAAACCGGGATTTTAATGCATCTTTGCCATGGCAAGAGAGTAAAAATAGAGGCACGTAGCCAAAAAGAAATTTTCAATTTGCAAATTTAATCCATCCAGAATAGCTCTAACCATCATATCACAAAGAAATCTTACTTTGAGGACTGGAATGATGGTGTCAGAGGAGTCAAGTCACGAGGATTACAGGGCTCAATGTGCAGCAAACCTTTTTCACTTGGCACCATGTCCAGCCTCTCTTCATACGAGGCATCCAATCTTTCATCAATGGCTTGTTTGTTCACCACATCTTTGCTCATGCCATATTCTGAAAATGCAAATTTCTTGGTAAATAGACGAGAATCTAGTTCATGTAAGAAGCAAACTTACACAGGCCTAGCAAGTCTTTTTTTCACTTGCTTAAGAATTTCAATTGATTGGAACTAAATTTGGTCATTGTATTTTCTGCTGTGAAAAATATTCCCCTGCATTCAAGTCATGAAATCATCAGCATCTCTGCAAGCCACTCCTGAACAGCACTTTGATGAATTAAATGGAGTGCACCACATGTTTGTAGAAGCCACTTTATATAAAATAAAACCACAGAAAGTTCATAGAATTTGACATACATCAAAGGAACTTGTCCTAAAGCAGAGTTCAGGTAAGAATGCTCACAAAGACAAACCATACAACATTTTTGGGAGTTAATCAGAAAGTCAGTTTTCAAGTTTTACTAAGTCACAAGGCTTCTAAATTTCCCTCCTCTCTGAAGCAGAGTTCATTAACTAATTGCATACAAATACTTAAATGGCATACTTATTGTAATCTCCGCTAAATTAAAAACTCTATATCATTATATAGCATGGCTTTCTAAATCGTTATATACATATATTTATGTAAGTGTGTGTGTGTGTTACTGCTGCTTTGACAAGAATAAGCTTAATTAGTTGGTGAAAGCTGAAAGGTGATTGGCAATTATAAGTGCTACAATCTTAATTTGCTTTTCTTTGTCTCTCTATGAAGCCATACAACACATATTATCCTTCAAATTCAAGTAGTTTTGGTAACTAAAGACTCCTTTTTCCCAGTGTTGTTCTCTATCAATCAAAGTGATCTGAGGGGTTTGATGGGACTTCACAATGTAAGAGCAAACCACTAATCATACCCTAAAAGGAAACGGGACATTAACTTGTTTGTCGGGAAGAAATTATATCCTATTAAGACTTGATCCTTTAGTTCTGGTATTCAAAAGAAAGATCACTTATGCCGCGTAGTGATTATTCAAAAGAAAAATCAACAATAACTAAGCAGAGGGAAACACACAAGTATATATTACTGCAAAATTCGCTTTGACAGGAACAGGCTTAAATAGTTTGATGATTTGTACGATAAAAGGCTGAAATGTGATTGACACTTGCTAAGTGCAAAAAGTTAGTTTATCCTTCTAATAGTTCTGGACCTTCTGGTAACTAAAGGCTCATTATGGCCCAGAGTTGGTTCCCATCATTCAAGTGATGTGAGGGATTTGTTATGACCTAATAATGTAAGAGCAAGACACAACTTATAGGCCAAAATGAAATGAGATGTTACATTGTTAATTTAATAGTCATTGCCACTAGTTGTCCTAAATCTTTACATACCAGTAAGACTTGATATATTATTTTTCGTAGTAGAAAGAAAGATCACCTAGTGTTCTGTCCGACAGAACGATCATAGTCAATAGGCATTGCGGTTCATAATAATACTGGTGATTATGTGAAAAGAAAGGCACTCATTTCAATGCTTCTAACATTTTTAGTTAAATCCCAATAATCAAAATCCATCTGTGCGCGATGATTACCGCACAATAAACAAATTGACAGATATCTTCTTTGATGAACTTGAGTTTACTTGAAAAGTCGAAGTTTCCACAACTAGTGAGTGTTTAGAAGCGGTGATGGAACTCCTTACGAGCGATCGAATTGTCGACAAGTGATCGAACTTGGTCCTGTTACTCAGAAAGAAGGATTAGAAGGACGTCAGAGTGTTTTTCGACGTAACCCCTTCGACAATCAAGTCAGTATGTGAGAGAAGGGTAGGAAAAGCACTGTTTTATTGCTTTGGTGAGATTTCGCGTACCTTAAACTTGAGTTTGTGAGAGCTATTTATATCTCTTTGGAGTTAATCATTGCAGATTGCCAAGTTCGGAGTTAATCATGGCAGATTGCTAAGTCCCTTGGAGTGAAAGCTCCTCATTGGCTCATTTGGAAGGCAAATAGTGCCTAGTCCTCGAGCAGTGAGCCTCCTTTTCCTCTTTATAAAAGCTTCTGCATTTAATGCTTGAATCCCGGAGCATTCAATGCTTGCCTTTCTGAGTTCGCCAAGTAATAAATATGTCCCATCCTTTTGAAAGATCATTTAATGTTCCCATTGTGGCTACGCATGCGCAAGGGTATTTTCGTCCATTGCCCTCCAAGAGGTCATGTCATCTGGACTTTGTACTTCGTACAGTCTCACCATTGATTATCAAACTGTCTTCCCTATCACTGACTATCTTGGGAAGAGAAATTAATGATTAATAGTCAATCCTACTTCTAATGTGATGACGCCATTCTTGACTCTTTTGGGAACTTGGCCATTTGGCACAGGTCAAGCACCTGGATGATCGTAAACACCTCGACGAGATGGAGTCTCACGCCGAGAACATGTGTCAGGTAAGGAATTCCTCAGGGGGACTTGAGGCACCAAGGACAGATGTCAAACGATGAAGGTTCCAAGAAACCTTGATGCCGAGGACACGTGTCAAACAAAAGATGTTCCAAGGAGTCCCATGCTGAGGACACGTGCCTCTTCTTGGAGGGTTCGAGTTTTGTACGCCAAGGACACACTGTTAATTGACAAGAGCTCCGAGGAGTTCAACGCTGAGGACACGTGTCAGCTCAAGAAAAGTCCATGAGTAATCATGTCAAGGCCACGTGTCATCTCTTCATTAATTCGTGAAAACGTCCCATCAACTGCCCTCAGCCCTTGATCTTTGTATGGAACCAATGACATAGCAAAGGGAGACGAAAAGGCTTACTCCCTACCTCTTCAAGTAGCCACTTTACTTTCTTTGGGTCATGTGCCCCATTTAGGACGCCTTCTTCATGCCTTGTGCGCAATGATGAGCCTAGTCTTCTTATTTAAATAGAGTCTTTGTCTTTTTCTTCTACTTTCGTCAATTCTGCAACTCAAAGAGCCTTTCAATGGAGTTCCATCGAAGAAGCCTTTATTCGCCTGAAAGCCACCAATCTCTTAGATCCCACCAGAGAAAGAAGCCACCAACCCCTCCTCTATATTAGGATCGTGATCATTTGTGAGTAATTGCTCTTTTCTCTCTCCTAGCAACCATTTCTCTTTTGCTCCTTCTCCTCTCCGTCTTAATTGCATTATACTATCTCTCTATCCTCATTTTTCTTCTTTGTTTTCTTAATATTAACCCTTAGGCCCCCAATCATTAGGAATCCCTCTTTTGAGTCCCTTCCCTGCTTACGCCACGCCAAGACGTCGTCAGAGTACCAATGTTAGGACCGATGAGGCTAATCCCTTTAGACTGAGGAAACATACTATCAAGGGTCGCCAGCAAATCACTAATTTTAAGACCCACTACTCTATTCCCCTCAGGGTTACTATAAATGACTTTATGCTTGGTCTCCACAGTGCCACCATCGGTACCGAGGAGGTCATGCCTTTCTATACCAAAGCCATCATAGAGGGTGGTGTTAGGTTTCCCTTCCATCCCATTCTTCTTTGCTTCCTATCCCAATTTCACCTATTCCCGGAATAGTGTTGCCAGAACACCTTTAGGATAATCATGAGGGTGGTCACTTTAAATGAACGTCTGCACTTGAGCCTCAGCTTGGAGATCCTGTTCTACTATACTTTGGTGAGAATGATGCCACAGCAGAAGTTCTATCTCAAGGCCTAAGACCCCACCATGTATCTCGTGACCCATATTCCAAACTCTGATTAGGGGTACAAAGATGACCTGCTCATCTTCAGTGGCCAATGGGAGAGGAAAGTTGGACCCGACTACACCGACTTATGGTGCCCCAACTAGTGGCAGACTACAAGTACGTCGACTTCTCTCTCTTTTCAGCTTTATAGTCCCACAGTATTTCTATACTTGCTTTTAATGTTGATTCTTTTTGTTTTCTGTAGGAATCTCTGACGTCGAGTCTGTTGCTCGTGCCTCAGCCAACATCATCATGTCTCTGCTTTATTCTTCTCTCCTCGATCTGAGGATCCCTGCCGTGGACTCGAATGTGTCCTAGCGGCGACGGGTCAACTCAATCCTTAGTGGTGGGTGGTATCGAAGGTGGCGCCCTCGGGATCAACATCCCAAAAGGACGAGCCCTTTCCTAGTTAGAAAGAATAATCCTAGAGCCCAAGCCACATCCCTGCTCAACAACACCTTAATCAAGCTGAGAGATAGACGATTAGTTGGACATGGCGATCTCCAAGGCGTCTTTGTCCTCAAGGTTTTGAAGAATGTCAAAGTCTGGCCAAATGTCCCTGCTCGAGGTGCTTTCCTCGACGTGAATGATGGTGGATGGGTCCCTTACTTCTTCGGCGTCGACAACTGTGCCTTTGGCAGCTTCCACCTCGGTTTTAGCTCCATCTGGGTTTTCTTCTAAGTTTTCTCAGAATAATACTAACCACCTCACTCAATCAAAATGTTGGGGGGTTTGGGAGAAGTTTTTGTACTCCAAAGTGTAGTCTAGCAACACATGTAGAGCTCGGCCAAATCCATTGCCCAGGAATTCCTAGGCTATGATAATGTCGCCGAGATTAACTTGATTTCAGATCTCTCCCTTAATGAACTTGAGTTTACCTAAAAAGTAGAAGGTCCCGCAGCTAGTGAGCGTTTAGAAGCAGTGATGGAACTACTTATGAGCGATCGAATCGTTGGCGAGTGATCGAACTTGGTCTTGTCACTCAAAAAGAAAGGTTAAAAGGGAGTTGGAGTGTTTTCCAGCATAACTTCTTTGATGATCAAGTCAGTATGTGAGAGAGGGGTAGGAAAGACATTGTTCTATTACTTAGGTGAGATTTTATGTACCTTAGACTTGAATTTGTGAGAACTATTTATACCTCCCTAGAGTTGATCATTGCAGATTGCAGTCCTTTGGAGAGAAGGCTCCTCATTGGCCCATTTGGAAGGTAGTTGGTAGTGCCTACTCCTTGAGAAGTGAGCCTCCCTTTCCTGGTGATAGAAGCTTTTGCATTTATGCTCAGATCGCCCAAGCATTCAATGCTTGCCTTTCTAGGTTCGCCGAGCAATAAATATGTCTCATCCTTTTGAAGGATCATTTAATGTTCCCCATTGTGGCTGGGCATGCGCAAGGGTATTTCTGTTCATCACCCTCTAAGAGGTCATGTCGCTTTACTTTGTACTTTGTATAATTTCATCAATGGTTATCAAACTGTCTTCCCTACCACTCTGACTGTCTTGGGAAGAGGAATTGATGATTAATAGCCAATCCTGCTTCTAATGTGATGATTCTTGACTCTTTTGGGAACTTGACCATTTGGCACTGGTCAAGTGCCTGGACAATCGTAAACACCACAGCGGGATGGAGTCCTCGGGAGGACTTAAGGCACCGAGTATTGATGTCGAACGATGAAAGTTCTGAGAGACCTTAATGCCGAGAACACGTGTTAAACAAAAGATGCTTTAAGGAGTCCCACGCCAAGGATAGTATCTCTTCTTGGAGGGTCTGAGTCTTGTTAAGCCAAGGACACGTGTCAGTCGAGGAGAGCTACGAGGAGTTCAACGCCGAGGACATATGTCAACTCAAGGAAGCTCCACAAGTCATCATGCCGAGGCCGCATGTCATCTCCCCATCAATTCATGGAAACGTCTCATCACCGCCTATTTGCCAAATCATTACATGTTTCTTAAATGATAGATTTCTCAATGTTAACTCTATGATCCTAAAGATCTTGAGAGCAAGAGAAACAAGAGAAAGAAATGTGAGAGAATGATTTCAAGAGAATTATGACATGAGGGAGAAAGAGAGGAGAAGAGAAAAAGAGAATAGAGAGGCAAAGAGTTCCAAGGAGATAGCAGAATGAACGAAAGAACTAAGCAAAAAAAGAGAAATACAAAGAGGTGTTCCTAGACAATAGGTGACAATAAGTTCACGAGGGAGACAGAGTTTGGAGGAGAGCAAAGTTAGATCAGTCTTAGGTTCTTTATCAAATTTGAGATTTCACAAAAGAAAAGAAAACAAACTTTTTTTTTAAGTATTGAACCTAGAATTCCATTCCATAAAGGAAAATTTAGCTTAAAGTTGGACAAAAATGTTATGTCAGTCTTCACTAAGATTTTTTCTTTCAAGGGGCAATAATGATAATGATGGTCTACCTTTTAGTTCCAAAGTTAAAAATCAACTTTTAGATTAGGCATACAAGGGTGTTCAAATTTCTGATTACCCGCAAATTCCTACCATACTCTATTTTATCCGACTCTATTGATCGACATTTCAAAAGAATTGGGTAGGCCAACGAATTTTTTTTTAGTATTTTGCAAAAAATCGAGTAAAAATATAGAATACTTACAAATTTTCGTATTTCTATCCTACCCTATATATATATATATATATATATCTCTAAAAATTAAAATCTAAAAATCTTTATTGATGTTTATAGCTTTCTTCTTGTGTTTTATTATAATAATTATATTATTGAATTTATTGTATTTTTTTTAGTGTTATTAATTTATTGTGTTAATTACTTGATGCAGGTTACTTAATTAAATTATTAAAATAATTCAAAAATTAATAACTAAAAAATATGTGTTCACTCGGTTTTTTATCCGACTTCCTACCCAATTATTTTGGTCAAAATTCGGATAAGAATATACACTTGATCGGGTAGGGTAAGTTAAAAAAAAAAATTCTTATACAGAATATTGAGTAAGAAGATGAAATACAATAATCCCTATGTGTCAGGTAAGGTGAACACCCCTAGGCATATATTAATGGTCAATGAGCTTTCCCCATATCTATTTCATCTAAACATTTGTTGGTGGCAAATGTTGCTTGGCTTCCATCATGAGCATCTTCTATACATCAATTACATTTGATCACCGCAACGTAGACTATGGGAAATGTAGGAGTCTGAATCGTTTATTGAAAGGTGTTTATAAGAGAAAAGGAAAAAAGGCTGCTACACAGTGCATTTGCATTCAACAGTGTGCTGCTAGGAAGTGAACATTGGATATGGACCTAACATCTGGAATATTATTGCACAAAGTGGCTACTCGCTCGAATGCATACTCTCATGCTTTACACCCGAGCACTTTACCTCAACTCGGATGTCGAATTAAATCAAATATCAAATGGGCCTGCCAAAGGACACGATTAGATAAAGAAAGCAATGGCCCTAAAACATATATTTAATTGCTATAGCCAGCACATAGTGGCTATATATGACAACAATATCAAGGACATTAAACAACATTGTTCTGCCTATATACAAGAAGAACAACTGTATTAACCAATTTTATATACAAGAAGAAAAACCACGTAACCAATTTTTACAAATAGGCTCCCCATCTCAACTGACAGAATCCCAACACAAAAATGATTTTGATTAGTCAGGATGTCTCACAATCATGCATATCATCTCATTCTGATACCTTTTTTCTTTTTTTTTTTCCTTCCTATTGTCGATGGCAATACAAGTCAGACACACCGATGGCATTTAAGGAAAGCAGATTCATCATGGTGGGCACTATAAGTCTATAACTATGTAATATGAAACCATAATTGTTGGGGCTTTGCTCCAGTCCGCCACAATGCACCATTTTAAACAAAAGGGAACTCCCGAGGTATTTTATGACAGAAGCACCTAGGCCGAAGAACTACATAACACAATTTTTTATGAGCAAGCCTTATTGAGAAATCAATCAAAGTTACCACTGTCAGCATATTTCGATTACTGACTTTTATTTCTGTCATAAGTGAAGCCCAACTGAATCTTCTAACAAAATAGAATTCAAATAGTATTACCATAAAATGCCTGTCTTATTCTCAATTAAGCAAGTCATTATATACATTTGAAAGGTTGAATTATCATACAAATATTTTGTGTACCATGATGGCACCATTGCATCAAATTTAAGGCGCAACAAGCTCTGCAAGTTATTAGTATTTTTGCACATACTTCCACTTCCATATGTACTACTATAATTTTTCAACACTTTCAATAATTTCTAACATGCTTATTCATATTATGATTCATCCCCAGAATAACAATATTTAGGTAACTTTTCACCAGAACACCTGTAAAGTCTTCATGTTTCCGATTAATGTTTCTCATGTCATACCCACCATTTCAACTTAAATATTCTAATGACATCAACGTTTAGACAACCCCAGGTACAAAGCAAGTGAAAGCTTTTGAATCATGGTTCCCCATCATGGCTATAAACATAAATTTGCGGTAATGTATGTTTTTTGAGGAATATTCTTCTGCACTTCTCATCATATTGAAATCAGTAATAATATACAACTCATAGTATTAATCATTATGGCATAAGAAGTAAAAGATCCCCACATGAAAATTACCTTCCTTCCGGCCATAGACATTCTTGCATCCTTCACACCGGCAACCATCGGAGCATCCAACATTGCCCTTCAATGATAGAGCGGAACAAGTCCAACAATTAAGTTGAAAAGAAGAAAGTTGAAAGCATGGGGATTACTCAAGCAATAACAGACACCATACCTGATAGCACTCACAGTATTTCTTCAAACACATTGATTTCTTGCAATTGCATCCTCGTTTGTGCCTTGCTGAAGAGGGTGTCGAAATGATTCCACCCTCCTGCAGAGGATCAATATGATTGTTGATTGTTTGTTGCTATGTAAAACGTATTCATAAAAGTTTAAATAGAGAGGCTGCAATACCACAGTACTGTTTGCCTGAGGCTCTGTGTTACGCTGTATAACTTTTGGAGCAAATGCAAGTGGATTTCGAGTTTCAATTTGTTCTCGTGTCTCAAGAACTGTATCTTCGTATTCAGGCCTGTTGAAGCACTCTTGGCAAGCACAAGTTTCAGCGCAATAGATTCCAGCAGCAAAACAATCACAGTAACTGCCAGGAAGCAGATTAAAATGACCAACTATTAAAGTGAAAAATCTATCAACTGAAACCTTAAACGCACTTACAGTTTCAAACATTTAGTCTTCTTACAATTGCAACGTTTGCAATCATCACCATCGTTGGTCACTGAACTCTTCTTCCTGCAGGAAATGTATAAACAAATGATTTCAGAATAATATGGACATGCATTGAAATAATTAACAATGAATGATAACAGATATAGGTAGTTGCCTTTTCTTTTTGGGGCTCGATTGGTTACACTCCTCAAGACTGTCAGCATGTCCAGAATTGGACTTCCTCTTATCACCACATGCAGTTGCTTGTTGTTCAATTGGCTTCAAAAGCACATCATTGGTCAAAGGTTGTACACTGTAATGAGACAGAGATCTGGCAGTGCTTGCTGCTACAGAGGGGTGACTTTCATGCCTGCCATCTTCTTTGCTTCCTGTAGTGCTCTCAACAACATTTGAGGAAATCAGGCAATTCTCTAAGTTCTCTGATCGATGACGATTTATCATAGATACTGACTTCTTCCCTCTGACACTCAAATAACCCCTTTCAGCTGATTTGATGCTTGCAATTGCACCAAAACCTGCTGGCATGGCATTAACAATGCTATTTAAGTGCAAGCCAATGCCTGAGGGCTTTGAAACTTTTGAACTACAAGTTCCATCATTTCGAGGAGAAAAAGCCAAAAACGTGGGTTGGGTCATGTTATCCAGTTGCATGTTGGCGGGAGTTGCTGGCACATCTACATAATATGATTCTAGAAACTCTGAGTTGGCAGGGATCACAGATGACCTTGAACTAGTGGTACTATTTGATGGAATCCAAGAACCAGGGCTGTTCACTGTCGTGTTCTGTTGAGCCCCTTCAAATTGAAGACAACGTCTACGCATGCCACAGTGGTGTGGACTGGCCTACATTTACCGTTGCAATTATTCTACTGCTGAATAAAATTCCTAGAGAAGTTTGGTTAAGGAAAAAACTAAAAAGTAAAATCCAGAGGCCAGGATTATTTTTCTGAAACGCTTTTGCATCGAGATATAAGTGTCAAGGGGTTGGACCCAGATGATATAGTGTTGAATGAAAAGTTTAAGATAATGAAATGCTGAAGTTATTTTTGCATACAATAATGGATATACTAAGTTGCATGTTCTAACATAGACTGGTGATGATGATGATGGTTGATCCCAATCCCTTTCGATGTCAAATCAACACAAAAGATGTGAAAACATAGGGAAAACCTCAAAGGGAAGGAGTCATTAACCTTTGTTGCATAGAAAATGATTACTTTCCAAAAAAAAAAAAACAAATGTTAATGATGACACATAAAATTCTGAATAGGGTTTTTAGATAAAAATTTGGGTATAAGTAGTCAAATCCAGTTTTTGCTACTGTTAGTCAACACAGTTTTTTTTTTGTTAAGTTGCATGCGCTGTGGGAAACTATGATGATAATTGAACTGAATCTTGTAGTATCTAACAAGTAAAACAAAAGAAAAAAAGAATACGTGAAGATTTTACATATTATTTAATTATTACTGTCCACAGGGATGGCTACTGTCTTATTGAGCCAAGATATAGCACAAAGAGATGTTGAAAAACTGATTTTAGTCGTCTAAAAAGACTGCGTTAAGATCAAAACAGGCAACATACGATAAACGTATAAATAGGCTGATTGAAAAGGGAAAAAATTAATAATTAGAAGACCCACCCCTTACTAATAGACAAGGATCAAACAAATGTATCGGTGTATAGTTTCAGTCAACTCAAAAACGGAAACGTTTTTGAAACGCAGTGGAAACTGAGAAAAAGTTTAGAGACATGTGAAAACAAATGGAAACATAAATTAGCTTAATGATTGATCAATTGAGCATGTTTATTGTTTTAATATCCTTTTGTACTGCAAAATATCAAGGTGGAGAAAAAATAAGGTTAATATGAGGCAGAAGGCATTTCAATTAATGTTAGACACTTCATTTTCATCAAATAAACACATTTACATGAAATAAAGGTCTATTAGTTCGAACAGATGATCCAATCTAAGAAAAAAAGTAAAAATTTATTTCCAAAACATTCTAAACGATGGCATTCCGAAACATTCCGACTACCACATATCAAAACACGTCAAANTACTTTCCAAAAAAAAAAAAACAAATGTTAATGATGACACATAAAATTCTGAATAGGGTTTTTAGATAAAAATTTGGGTATAAGTAGTCAAATCCAGTTTTTGCTACTGTTAGTCAACACAGTTTTTTTTTTGTTAAGTTGCATGCGCTGTGGGAAACTATGATGATAATTGAACTGAATCTTGTAGTATCTAACAAGTAAAACAAAAGAAAAAAAGAATACGTGAAGATTTTACATATTATTTAATTATTACTGTCCACAGGGATGGCTACTGTCTTATTGAGCCAAGATATAGCACAAAGAGATGTTGAAAAACTGATTTTAGTCGTCTAAAAAGACTGCGTTAAGATCAAAACAGGCAACATACGATAAACGTATAAATAGGCTGATTGAAAAGGGAAAAAATTAATAATTAGAAGACCCACCCCTTACTAATAGACAAGGATCAAACAAATGTATCGGTGTATAGTTTCAGTCAACTCAAAAACGGAAACGTTTTTGAAACGCAGTGGAAACTGAGAAAAAGTTTAGAGACATGTGAAAACAAATGGAAACATAAATTAGCTTAATGATTGATCAATTGAGCATGTTTATTGTTTTAATATCCTTTTGTACTGCAAAATATCAAGGTGGAGAAAAAATAAGGTTAATATGAGGCAGAAGGCATTTCAATTAATGTTAGACACTTCATTTTCATCAAATAAACACATTTACATGAAATAAAGGTCTATTAGTTCGAACAGATGATCCAATCTAAGAAAAAAAGTAAAAATTTATTTCCAAAACATTCTAAACGATGGCATTCCGAAACATTCCGACTACCACATATCAAAACACGTCAAAGCATACCGAAACACCTCGAATATTTAATTACTCATTCGTTTTGATTTTCATTGGAAATGGAGACCTTTTGGCCATTTTAGAAGGTAACATAATGAAGATGGTTTGCAACAAAGCTCTAAATTCCTACCATATTGATAGCTCCGTTGATATATTGGACATCTAATAGAATATCATACCTTGGGATCACGAAGCATCAAGTTCTCAACTGGTTCACTTGAGAGTGCTCTAGTGGCTTGAACACAATCTTTGTACTCAACAATCTGCATGGATTCTAAAAGCAACTGAGAGCTACAATCGGATTCAACTTTATGGCCAGCTCCTGCATCCTGCATTTTCAAATCCTGTGATCTACCATGACAAAAATTTGTATGATCATTCTTAGTTTTTCTTTTCCAAATTTAGAACAATATTTCTTTTAAATCAGCAGTTACCTCAGTCGCTGAATGCTCATAATAATGTTTGTCTAAAGCATGGTCATGATGCTCAACTTTTGGGCATACGATAGACGGCATATCACCAACTTCATTTTCTTTTTCTGCCTTACCAGGTGCTGTATCAAATGGTGACTTTTCTTGACATTTCTCTACAGCTTGATCAAAGATGGCAGGAGATGCACCCAATGTCATCCTGTCATCTTTTGTCACATCATATTTTTTTTCCACTTCTGTTATAGAGTCCCTTGAATCTGCTACACCACTTGATGATTTAGGGACATTGTCAGATTGTTTTGAAGTTAAATTTTCAGAATGATTTAACTCCACACAGTCCACCTCCATATGATCAGCCAAAAATTCATCCACACATCCAGGGGGACTACCACATTGATCGTCTACGGAGCTGCTATTATCACCCTCCTCGGTGCCAAAAATCAACCCACAACTCAATTTGGTATCAGATTTCCCAGATTCATCTACACCTTTGGCAATATTTATGGCCCTATCATCCTGCTGAGATAATTCTGAACCGGATGGTTGAGTGCATTGAGGCCTGAAAAAAGTTCAACATCTCCACCTAATCAGTTCTTGAATGTGGATTTTCTTCAATCCGAAAGCAACACTCCTAAAGCATACTTCAAAATATATCAAACCTTTTTAGAAAACTTGATTGGCGGTGTGGATGGATTCGAGGTGAAGAAAATACAAGGGGAGGAGAATTAAGTCCTGGGAAACTCTGTGCAACTGGTGCTGCTTTGACAGGCTTTAAAGGAGAAAGATTGCTGATGTAACTGGAGATAGGTGAATCCTGAGATTGAAGGAACAAATATGAGCTAGGAAACCACGGCCAATGGACTTAAGATACAAAAGATCTAACAAGAAGCAGTTCACTTGCCAGCACTCACTACATGTTTTACCCAAGAAAAAAGCAATTAAATACCAGTAAAAAATTTCCCCCCTGCATGGCACCCCTCTTACATCAATATCTACATTGTAGTCATTTATTTTCATATTTTTATCACTTGTAGCAAAAACATATCCAACACTTTTTCTTCAGACATGGGATACAAAGTAATATGACACTAAAATAGAATTTACTTGCTGAAAATTTGGGTGAAAATCAAATAAGGGAGAAAATCTACTTCTTATATCCATTGCTAAATTGCTGATTAAAATACAGAGTGTTCTCAAGGAAAAATTAATAGGTCAGCTTTAGTTACAAGTTCCTATGAACCAAAATACAAGAAGCTCCTAATCATCCAAAGGGAACAAATGACTTCTAAAGTTTTCTTCAGAAAAACTCAAAAAGGTGTTTTACAATTGATGACTGAATGAAACTGATTTTAGCTATCTCATTCAGAAATGAAATTATACAAATGCAGAGAACAAAAAATTTTCATTTCCTTCTCTTTTCCACAGTTTGTCCAGCAGCCAAACATACTCTCAAATCATAATTTCATAAAGTCAATCAGTGGTATCCTTTCAGTAAAAAATTTACAGGCTGACGAAATCAGAAGAATTAACCAATTTATTGTCACCCTTTATTGAAACCCCTCATCAACCTTTATGCTCAACACCCACTTCAAATCACAGCCCACTAACAAAATCAGGCCATATTTGAACCCTTAATAGCCTAACAACTAACAATTCAGTGCCACTACAAATCTACAAGCTAACCGCATTATCTAACAAAATTCTAAAACATCAAATTATCATTTTACTAGCTGAAATAGGAAAGGTTGTAAATGGAAATCTGTTCATTAGGTCTCTCGTGAAATTGTGCGGTAAAACAACGGAGACATTTCAATGTCTTGTACTGTTAGCATGAGGGTTGAGTCAGTTCTTCCATAGAACCAAAAATAACAAACTCCAAACCATCAGAAGTTAAAAAATAACTCTCATCTTCTATACTTTTTTCAGCAGAGCAAAAAAATCAACTCAACAAATCAATGTAAAATTATATGGCTGAACAAATTTAAGTTTATCCATTTCCTTTCGAACCGAACATTGATAAACTCAGAATGTCAAATCTCATTTGCTTTTCTCCTCTTCAGTGTTCTAGCAACCATATACATTCTCTAATAAGAGCTTCATTGCCATTCCTCTTGGTAATCAATTAACAGTTTGCATCCATCAACAATGTTAAACAATCCTCAATTACACCATAAAATCAGTAAATTACCCTCAACACCCCCTTCAAATAAAAATCCAACCAACGAAATTAGGCCCAAAAATGACTCATAAACCCCAACATTTCACTGCCACCAAAGTCCAAACCCTAAAACCATTCTCCAAACAAAACCTTTAAATCCTACCTCTAAATCAATGCACTTGAACAATAACAAACAGCCTATACCCGCATCAATTTGATAAAAACCCATTAACAAAAACTTCACAAAACTAAAATTTGCATAAGATCTTCAACCCAGAAAACGAGTCCACACAACATCTTATAAAAAACACAGGTTTAGTACATTTTACAGAGAAATCCAATAAACAGTAATGTATCCTTAGATTCACGAATATGACAAAGAACACAAAGAAGGAAGGTGTACTTGGACTGCCACAGGGTACAATGAAGAAGTGGTGGCGGCGATGGTGGTGGTGGTGGGTTTGGTAGATTCAGGGGAATCCATAAAACGAGGCCACACAACATCTTAAAAAACACAGATTTAGTACATTTTACAGAGAAATCCAATAAACAGTAATGTGCCCAGAGGTACACGAATATAACAGAGAACACACAAAGAAAGAAAGAAAGTGTACTTGGACTGCCACAGGGTCCAATGAAGAAGTAGGGGCGGCGATGGTGGTGGTGGGTTTGGTAGATTCAGGGGAATCCATGACGCGAAACCTAATCCTACCCTTAAAGTTCACTTTTGGCATCCTTTTTTTTTACATTCACTTTCTCTCTCTTACTGATCTACTGAATCTGGAAACTAAAAGTGAATGTGAGGATGGATGATGATAAAAAAAAATTGTGTAGATTTTAAATATTTATTTCTCAATATATGAAATTTTCTTTTATACTGTAGAAAATAAATAACAAAGAAAGTATGAGAATTTCCAATTTCCAAAGAAAAAAGAAAAAAAGAAAAAAAGAAAACGTGAGCGAAAAAAAAGCGGGTTTTTAAATCAGTGAGGGTTGGGCGGGAAAATATTAGATTTTTGTGGCTACGAAGGCGGTTGTTGTGGGTTTGGGTCTGTGTAAGTCCATTAGAGAGAGTTTGACCCAATATGCTTTCGAGTTTCAGTATCTTCTTGTAGGTCGGTTTGGGCTTTTTTTTATTTTGAGAAAATTTCGGTTACACCCTTTCCAATTTACTATATTTTCAAGGACGTCTATTATCTAAAATATCACTCAAATTCTTTTTAATTTACATTTAAACATCACTAACACCCACCCTAGTTTGTTAAACCACCATTTCTAATAAAAATAAATTATCTAAAATACAAAAATTACTCTTACATAAACTCCAAATAATCTTTCTACATAAGATTCGATTAAAAGTTATTTTTTTACATATTAAATTTTAAGCTGATTAAAATATTTTTTCTATTTATTAAAATTTGAGCCGATTAAAATTCGATTTGAGCTAATTAAATTTTATTTTTTTTACGTATTAAAATTCGAGCCAATTAAAATTCATTTTTTACGNTTAAATTTTAAGCTGATTAAAATATTTTTTCTATTTATTAAAATTTGAGCCGATTAAAATTCGATTTGAGCTAATTAAATTTTATTTTTTTTACGTATTAAAATTCGAGCCAATTAAAATTCATTTTTTACGCATTAAAATTCCAGCTGATTTAAGCTCTACTTATGTTATTAGCACTGATTAAAATTTGTTTTAAATCAATTAAAATTTATATTTTTTCTTAATAAAATTTGATTCAAGTTGATTAAATTAAAATTTTTACTTATTAAAATTCGAGTCNAAATTTATATTTTTTCTTAATAAAATTTGATTCAAGTTGATTAAATTAAAATTTTTACTTATTAAAATTCGAGTCGATTAACATTTATATTTTTTTATGTATCAAAATTCAAATCAGTTAAATTTCAATGCGAGTTGATTAAAATTTAATTCGAGACGATTTAAAATAAAGTTTAATCAGCTCAACTAGAATTTTAATAGAATTAAATTTTAAAAAGTAAAAAAAAATATAATTTTTAATCAACTCAAATTTTAATGTTTAAAAAATAAATTTTAATTAACTCAAATTGAGTTTAATCGGCTAAAATTTTAATACATAATTTTTTTTAAAAAAAAAAGAGGTCTCATTGAAGATATAACTATATAGAGGGATGTAGATAAAGTTTTTTTATAAAATATACCATTAATAATTTAGTAAAATTGTATTTTAGTTAATACTTTTAATCTGATAAGGATGTCAGTGAAGATTCAAAAAATAAAAGAGGTATCCATAAAAATATAATAAACTAAAAGGAATGTAACTGAAATTTTTTCTTTGGGGGGGGGGGTAGTTCACTTTTTTAATTGAGTCAAAAAAATTGTTCAACTGCGGCTAGTTCTAAGTCCGAGCCGAGTTAAAAACGAATCAAATTCGAATAATTCAACTATTTTGCATATAAACAAATCGAGTTTTGTGAGTTTTCATTTTTTTAAATGAGTCTAAAAGAGTATTCAATCTCGGTAGAGTTTGAGTTCAGCCTTATAAGAGTCGAAGTCATTAATGTTGAATGATCCACTAAAAAAATATATTTAATAGAATATGAATCTATCATTTCTCAAACAACACACATCACTTGTGGTTTTTTTCATAAATTGAAAACTCTAGATATGTGTAGTAGCAAAAACAAGTACAAAAATTATCTAAATTTTCGATGATTAATGTCTATACCTTATCAAATAGGACCACAAAAAAATATTTTATTAATGCAATACTAGTTATACTGTCGGTTAGGGGTGTCAATCGTGTCGGGTTAAACAGTTATGTGTCGAATTAAACGAGTGACGGATGAAAAACATACAAATTCATACACGACACGTTTAATAAATGAATAAAAAATTTAAACACGAACCATTTAATAAACGAATAACACGACTCGTTTAACCCATTTAAAAAAAAATAATAAAAACTAAAATTTATTATTTTAATAAATTTTTACACTCTATTTTTTTTTGTTTCCAAGTGTACTTTCCTCAATTTGAAGAGCTCCATCTAAAGCCCCACTCTTTCTGGCGATGTGGGATTCAAAGAAAAGGTAATTTAATGCCTCAAACTGATTTCTTTACTTTTTTTTTAAAATGATTTTTTTATTGTTTTTTTTACTCGTTCATTATTTTATATGTATATAAAACAATTATTAATTTATTATTATATTAAATTTATTTAAACGGGTAAATGGGTTGACATGTCTCACCCAAACACGACTCGTTTATTAAACATGTTTAACGGGTTAACCCGTTTACCACCCAAACCTGCTTAATTCGTGTCAATTTATGTCGGTTAATCGTATCATGTCGAATTTTGACAGGCCTAACTGTCGGATTAAATTTGAATTAATTATGCTTTACACTGACCTAATCTATTTATTATTTTTATCAAAAAATACAATACCAGTCATATTGTCTATCATATTAAATTTGGATTATTTATGTTTTATACTAAGCTAACTCATTTATTATTTTTATCAAAAATTTATTTTAGTTTTGAGTTCTATCAAAAGCTACTCAACTTTAACTCATTAATTTCATGTGAAATTNAATAGGACCACAAAAAAATATTTTATTAATGCAATACTAGTTATACTGTCGGTTAGAGGTGTCAATCGTGTCGGGTTAAACGGTTATGTGTCGAATTAAACGGGTGACGGATGAAAAACATACAAACTCATACACGACACGTTTAATAAATGAATAAAAAATTTAAACACGAACCATTTAATAAACGAGTAACACGACACAACTCGTTTAACCCATTTAAAAATAAAAAAATCAAAATCAAAATTTATTATTTTAATAAATTTTTACTCTCTATTTTTTTTTTTCCTTCCAAGTGTACTTTCCTCAATTTGAAGAGCTCCATCTAAAGC